GGGAAGATCGGGCCGGGAACCGCCCGCTCAGAGGCAGAAATGACCACCCTTCCAAGATGGCGACTCTCAGAGAGATACTCTCAAGGGGACAGCCATGTTAGTTGCCTGACAAGTCACCAAAGAACGTTTGAAAGCCCGCCTCTCTTCCCACACACGCACACTCACTAAGATGTCGTGAGTGCATCCAGTGTAATTGCAGGCTGACTGTCACTTCCTAGGCCACACTGAGCATGTTCAGGATGAAAGAGTCCCTCGAATGCACTTTTAACACTTAGGGCTCTGAACCTGAGTTTAAGAGGGGCGGCGACTTAGCGGCAGTAGAACAGTCATATAATTATGAGGATGTTATGACATGGATTTCGTGCTCAGTGATAGTACTCCGTAGGGTGAGCGATGGGGCTTCTCTGGGGTCACTTATGAGGCATGCAAAGTAACTGGCAGGGGTTTGTGGGTGAGTGACGGGGTCAATGGGAAAGCAATGGATAGCCTGAGGGATGAGTGATCAATGGGAGAGCAATGGATAGCCTGAGGGATGAGTGATCCGGAGAGTTGAGTGATGGGGGAGGTCTGTAGGGGTAAATAGTGCAGAGTTTGTGGTGTGAGCGACGGGGGAACTGTGGGGTTAGTATTACGGGGTTTGGGGTTAGTGATGTGGGGTCTATCCGGTGAGCCATGAGATATCTGTGTGGTGAACAATGAGGGTCCTCAGAGGTCACTGATGGGAATCCCTAGAGGTCATTGATGGGGTCTGTGGGGTAGGTGGATGTGTGGGATAAGTGATGGGATCTGTGGGATAAGTAATGGAGGTCTATGTGGTGAGTGATAAGGGGTTAGTGGAGTAAGGAATGAGGACTGTGGTGTGAGTGATAGGGTCTCTAGGGTATGATGGGTGCTCAATGGGATTAGTGATGGAGGTTTGTGAGGCAAATGATGGAGGGTTTTGTACAGTGAGTCATAGGGTGTTAGGGTAAGTGATGGAGATCTGTAGGATGAACGATGGGAGTTCAGTAAGGTGAGTTGATGAGAGTTTTGGGAGAGTAATAGGTGGTCTGTTACATGAATCGTGGAGAGTTTGTGGGGTTTCTGTGATATGAATGATGGAGTTCCATGGGGAGAGTGATGCATTTATTTGGAACTACTGATGGAGGGACCTATGGAATCAGATATGCTGTTTCATGGGGTCAGTGATAGTGGGTCTCAGGTGGGGCTGTTTCAAAAGCCTACTTTTGACTTTGTTGGTCCTCCTGTATCTCTTTTTTCTGTGTCATTATTTTCTGCCCTTGATTTCATTATTTCTTTTCTG